GGCTCAGGAGGCGTCTGCGCCTGCACACGTGCAGCCCGGTTGGTACCCAGTTCCTGGCCTTTGAGGTGAAGCGGCCTTCCCTGTTAACCTGGATTGAGAGATGACTAGGCCTTTGTCTGGCTGCCCACTAGAAAGGGAGATACATCCACACTGTAACTGTATACGGCGCAAGAAGACAATGTAAATTCTGTCAACTTGAAAGCGATGTGGTAACTTGGTGAGACATGAAACACGAATCATCCTGGGACGTCTGGACACTTGTTGGCATGAACTTTGTAGTTGCTTTCCCGGCTCGTAGTGAAGCCTAGGGAATATTCTCCGGGAAGACAGACTTCACAGTCTTCTCCATGCACAATGTCATCACTAGCTTTGGGTAGTGTAGTGAAATTCAGCTCTGACAAGACTTACAACCAGTGTTTTAAACCAAAAAAATGTTCACTATGACTTCAGAATGCATTGTCAGAAGTTTTGAGTTAGGGTATTTTGAAAAGCAGCCTAAAAGTGTCAAAGAGTAATGATATGAAACATCATTTAAGAAGAATGATTTTGTTCTTTGGTAAGCCATCAAAAGGAGGTGCACCTGCTGCTGAAGTGAGAGCTCAAACCAGCATTACCTATCAAATAAGCATAGGTGTTGATGTTTATATTCTGATTTATTTAATATCGTTTTATGCTTTGCAATATTTTCTCTCGGAAGGATTAGGTATGTGTGCATACATTAATATAAGCTTGAAAGTGTTCCTGAACTTTGGAGAATAATGTTTGACAGTCTCTTGTTTTGTGCCCATGAAAATGCTATTATTCTTTAATAAGTGTTTTCCATCCATAATTCTCAGTTTCTTTGAAGAAATAGAGTAGGAGTCTATATCACATTACAGAGAGTCAAGTAACTCTACATCTTTCTTGGTGAAGCTTCTTTGTAGTTGTAGTAACGGAATCAGTGTAGTCAAGTGTTCTGTATTTCTGAGTAGCTTAATACAGTCCCCTTTATATGACTGTCATGCTGTGATCTCCCTGTATTTCTCTTTATTGTTGTCATTGACATTCAGTACATTTACAGGATTTGGTCCTGCACAGAGCAGGTCCTGAGAACTAAAAACCACAAGCCGAGCAATTCATCTAGTAATGCTGAAAACACTGCATGGTTAGTGATGCTTTCTATTTTGTGACAGGTATGGTTGCCTGAATAGAGAGCAAATTCAGCGGCTAAATCTCATTGTCTGTGCCTCTTTAGGGGCACCTGGGCCCTCTTCTTACTCACATTGTCCTGTTCAGTTGATAGAAAGGGGATGCATGGAAAGCATGACACTGGACAGCTCAGTAGGGAAGACTATTTGACACTCCTTTTGTTGAAGCAATGGCTTCCCTTGCATTTATGTCCATTACTGTCCAGGAAGCTCACATACCTCTGCACTGCACCATGCCGTGACTTGCAGGCTCAGCACTGATATGATATGCAACTAAGCAGACAATATTTCCTTCAACTTTTATAGCAGGTAAGGTAATAATGGCCACTAAGTACAGTGCTGTGTACAATGCTTACAGTTTGTAAGATAACTTTTGAATTTCAGCAGCTGGTAAAATATTTTCATTGCATTACTATGGATAACCACTAGTATCAGGCTGAAGAATGTGAACTTGATGCCTTTTTGCTGCTTTTAGCTCTTGCGTCACTTGTCCCTGCAAACACAATACTGTAAGGCTGGAACAGCCAGCTCTGGATTAGAAACTTAATACCTGATGGGAGCAGAGTACCAAGAAACATTGCAGCTGTTAAATCTGGAACAGACTCTGTGGAAACCTTGGAAAATAGCAACATTTTAGGCCTCCGAAGGCTCAGATCCAAAGTTAAAGACATGTCTCAGTTGGCACTTTAAAGGAGGCAGTAGTTATGCAGTTATCTTTGGATATTCCTCCCGCTTCCGGTTATATTTTTATGTAAAATTGTAAAAACGTGCTGATAGGCAGCATTTGTAGCTCTCTGCAAAGGCACTGCATTAGCTTATATGGCCAAGATCATTAATGTGTAAAAAGTTAGACGTAGGGGAGGAAAAAGGGTGAGTATTGCTGTTTTCCTCTCTCCATTTCAATGGTCTTCAATATTTAAGCAGAGGACATCTGGCTGAATGATAGATACGTTGAGGAATGGCTGGCCGGCATGGATGGGAAGAAAAAAGTAGCGTTTGTGATGCAGGGCATGCATCCAGAATGCCGCGCTGCCTTGACAGGAGCGTGAGCTCAGGAGACAGGCTTTCACTGCCATGTATATCACTGACCTGTGTGACCAACCTTTGGCAAGACACCCAGTGTTTTGAATGCCTCTGCTGAGGTACAGATTTACCAAGAGGGCTAAGAGGACTTTGTCTCTCTTCCCTCCCCCACTTCAACAGCGCACACTGCAATGTGCCTGTCGTGGCCTACAGTGATGCCTGTGCACCTCTTGTCTCCATGCTGAAGCTGTGAGGAGCTTTGCCCTGACGCTGATCTCTGTGCATCCTCGTGCATTGTATAAAGCTTGAGGAATGAAGCACCACTGCATAGTGAGGAAATTCTGTAGCAGTCACTGCATGGAGAAACTGAAGAAAGGAAAGCCTAAGTGAATTGGGGGTGCCAGGGCAAGAGCTGGAACAGACTTCCCAGTCACTTGCTTTATCCTTACTTCTTTGTACCTAATTATCTCCGTTCTGTGAAATGAAAGTGGTAGCATTGCAAAGTGCTTTGATATTTGCAAATCACAAGCAGAACTCTTCATTTGATAGCTCTTAGGCAGATGCTTGCTTAAAGAAATTGGAGAAGGTGCCCTCAGGAAAAGCACAGCTGCTCTGCAGAGCAGCTTGGAGAGGGAATTGGATGGAATCCTTGCCGCAGCGTGGGCCCCGGTTCTGTTTAGGAGCTTAACCTTCGTATCAGCTTTGAGCCACTAAGAGTTTGCTGACATTTCAGACCTTTACAGCTTGAAGGGAGAAGTTTTGTCATGCCCATTTTTCTGCTTCCAATTGCCATCTGAAAGCAGGCAGTTGTGACAACAGTGTCTGTTGTTTTGTTACAGTATTAAATTTTACCCAGTGCCAGTGTGAAGCCACCTTAAAAAAAATCTTTTAAATATAGAATCAGTATAATAGTAATGCTTGTGCTAAAATGTAAACAGTAGGATCATATGCTAGAGTACAGGTTTCAACCTGGCCAGGTGTACTGCTGCTCAGTGTGAAATCTGAAATTAAGCACAAGCTAGTGTACTTGACTGCAGGTTTGGGGCTCATGGCTGACACCCTCTGCCTCCCCGAGGAGCCAGCTGTGTGTGTCCAAAGCATAGGGCTGAAGAGGCCACAGAGGTCTAAGAAGGATAAAGCAGCGTCAATAAGCATATGGTCTGATGTTACAGCTAATCTGACTTAGTGACTAGCTATCATCAAAAGGGGCAGTCGTGCTTTACAGCTCTGACTGTATTCTCTCTTCCTCTCCCACCCCTGTGTGGTGCCTGTCTGACCTGGTTCAGGAAGCTGAATGGCAGGAAACTTACCCTGGTTTTTGTGGGGTTAATTTCTACTGATTTAGCTTCCTGAACTGTCTCTGGAGACATCAGACAGGTGCCAGCGCTGACACAAGACAGGGTGATGGGAATGCATAGCAAGTGAGAAAAGTCCTTTTATGCAGCAACTGGCTATTAGGTTGTATTATCTGTACCCTCAGACTGCATCTCAAGTGTTTATAACAGCAAACGTCGTGAATTCCTACACTGAAGGTAGATGTGATAGATACAACAGTAGGAGATAATAATTTATGTTCTCTGGTTTTGGTTTCCTTAGGAAAAATAGTTGGAAACGTATTTAATATAGCAACTGCTAGACTGGAGAATAGCATAAAGGTTAATCAGTTTACGTACCCTGGCGCTGACAAACGATTGTGAAAGTTAGTCCGTAATCTCTCATGTTCTCAATTTCCCGTTTCACTGGGGAGGTGAAGGCTGTTTGTTAATGCTTAGATGGCACTTAGGCTCATGAGGTATACCAGAAGGGTTGTGTAGCTAGGGTTGTGTATCTAGGTAGAGGTAAGTTTCTTCAGAAAATCTAAGGTTTTTATGACGCACTTAGTATGAGAGAACTTTGTTTTCGAAGGGCCAGAGTGCTGCGTGTGAGATTTGACTGTTTACAAAAATCATCTCTTTGTTGGCTCTTGGTCCTGGCTGGGGATACACAAACAAGCTGCTGGAAATTCATTATTTATGCTTTAGCATTTCCTCTTTTTTACCTCCTTCCCAAGAAATCATTTCAAGAAATCATTTGCAAGAAATCATTTCAATTCCAAAGAACAAACATATAAGTAGTAATCTAATCTAATTTTTATGAAATATGTTGGATCATTGGAGCCTAAAATCCAAGCCTTTGATGAAACAAGACCTCGGAAAGATTTATTAGAAAATTAAAAAAAAAAAAAATCCTTCTTTTCCTGTCACAACAGGATTGTAGACTCATAATTTCACCAGGGTTATCTCTGTTGGCGAACAGTTTCACAGTGGCATAGTGAGCAATGCCTTTCCATATCTATGAATCATCATTAGAAAATAGCAAAGAGAACTGATGACACTAGGATTGAATATTTTTTATGCTATAAGATTAATTTGATGATTTACAGAAGCAGCTGTCTGTAATGATGGCATACATGAGACAAAAAAGAAAACCTGAAAACCTAGCAGGAGACTCCTATGAAGAAATACAGGAATAATTTATAAATCGTCTTTTCTTCCTCAAATCATAGAGAAACTGTGATCTCTTATGTGTCAAGGATGGGTAGAATCATGTTTAGCTACTGTCAAGAAGTGATCATTTCTAGGCAGCATCCAGTTAATAACCAGCAGATTTGTGCCGTTGCATCTTTTGTACAACAGTTTGCGTAGAATTTTTATCTCCATTATCCTTGATGGATCTGCAACGTAGTAAGTTCTGTACAGATCTGTAGGAAGCTATTATCCCTGCTCTGAAGAGCCAACTTTCTGTAAGAAAAAGGGACTATGCCATCATTAGTCTTTCTTTTCGGTCGTTGTTGCTTAAACTCTTAATCTAGAAACTTTTTGACGAAAATCCTGCAAGTAGTACATGGCAAATGGGCTTTTACCAGAGACTACATGGGAAATTATTTCTCAGGCAACTTTATTAAGAAGGACTTTACCTGTATGGGGTAAGGTGAGAGGAAAAGCATGACAACAGTTTGCTGATTCCTGTTATTCAGTGAAGGATTAAGTGCAGTGGGTTTGTGGGTTTGCAGTGTGTCTAGTTTTATCAGTTACTAAAAACTAAGTAGCTGTGTTAGATAGTTATTTAATTAAAGATTGAAATATATTTAGACTGTCTAATGTAAGATATATGCCATTTTTCAGTAGTCTTTGAGTCCACTTAATAAACTGTTTCACACCCCTCCGCCCCGTCTAGCTGTTTATATTGTAAATTCCTGATCCAACAAGCGTAAAAATGGTTAGCTTAATTCAAGGGGCTCAGGAAGGAAAGCTAAACATCTGCCTAAGATTTAGGCCAAAGTTTGTTATATTGCTGACTGTATGGGAGATGTCTTCACACTCTATATGACCGTGTTGCACATGCAATACAATGAAGATGTTAATATTTGAAGTACAAAAGAAGGGCTGAAGTACAGCAAGTGGAAAGACTATTTCATCACAATACCATCAAAATAACAGAGACTGCATAGGGATACCAACAATTTGATGCTGTGTGGGTTCAAAATTCAAAAGAAGTTAATCATCCAACCCAACATCAAGATACAGCCAAGCATATCAAAATATGTCAACATATCAAAAAAGTAGCAAAGTTGCACAACTTGACACCATGGCTAGTACTCTCAGCATACAGCAGGTGTAAGATGTAGACTGGACTGCAGACAGAACTGCTGCTGCGCTCCTTCACCTTTGGAAAAGTTTTGTCTAGAATAAAGTATATTACTCAGTACTGCTGCAATGCTTGCATTTGTGCTTATGCTGCTTTACTTATTGCATCAAGTTAGTTTCACACTTTACCTGCTTCAGGCTTATTTGAATTACATTTCACACTAATGAGCTGATGGTCTTGTGAGACAACAGAACGCTTAAAATTTCCACTTGCATGCTCTTTGCACAACGGATGGGTAGTTCAAGCTTACTGTATTTGTGCTGTAAAAAGAAATAGTTTGTTTGCTGGAAAATGAAGGGCCTATGCGCTTACTCTAGTACCTTTCAGCTATCATGAAAAATTCTTGAAGAAAAAAGTCAAACAGAAAAACCATGATATTCTTTATTTTTATTATAATTTTAACAATATGGGTAAATTGAAATCTGTAAGCAAAGCAATTACATGAGGAGGGTCTAATAAAGTTGTTCAAGCTACAACCTACTTCGATTGTTGAATCAAACTGAATAAAGCAGGCTGTTTTGATGGGTTTTTAATCTTCCAGAAACATAGTTGGCAGTGACATCGTCTGCTTTGAATGGCAATGTTTTCTTCTTTGTGCTGGCAGTTTCATAATCAGCTGAAAATAAAAAAAAAAAGGAAAATTGCTCACTACTACAAATAGGAAAAGTGCTGAATCAAATGCTGTCTTCAACAGGTGCCATCTCATCGGCCCCAGCAGGATTTGATGGTGTAGCAGAAAACAAATTTGGTATACTGTGTTTATTTTATTTCAAAATAAATATAAAATTTACCCCTAAACTGAGTCAGGGGTAAGTCAGAATCTGTGGATTGTATCCTCAGCGATTCCATGACTCATGCCGATTAAGGTTCTTAAAAATAATAGTAATAATAAAAAGAACCCAAACATTATAATGCCCTTGCAGGTTATTCCCAGAGGACATATGTTAAAAATCTGAATTATATTTCTCCACAAAAGGCATAGTCAGTGGGCCAAATTGTCCTCAGACTCCAGGGGGTACTTGTGTGCTTAGAATGAGAGCTGCCCCAGGATCACAGCTTTAATATTTGGACTGTATAGTGGGAGGAAGAGGGAAGGCATCATGTTCCCAAGACAAGAAAAAAAACAGCGCAGCTGTCTTACGGCCATTAACGTAGCTCAGATGCTGTAGTAGCTTTGTAATTTCTCAGATCTCAAATCTTCGGGGAAGTGAGGCTGATAGATCTACTGCCATATTCCTAAACCTAGTCCTGTAGCAGTGCCAGAAACTCATCTCCAATACACCATGCATCTCAGCATTGCGAGATTTGGGATTTCCGCTTAGGCAGCTTCTCCAAACCTAACCATCTACCATCCAGCCTTATTAAACACAAGAACTACCCTGGTCCTTCAGCTTCTACCTGTCTCACAACACTTTTCCAAAGAGCTCGTGTTCTCCGTGTTCATGCCATGCTTGTTTTTTAATGAGAAATACCTGCTTTGTTCTCCATCCAGAAGGCAGTGATATGCAGCAATATCTTTCTCCAGCTGCTGTTTGTTGGTCAGCAGATTTTCACGATCCCGCTGCTGCTGCTCAGTTTCTACTTTGATTTCTCCCATCTCTGCCTCCAATTTGGAAATGACAGAACCTAGGTTCTGCAGTTCGATGTCATGCCAGTGCTTAGCATCATATAAAGAGTTCTCCAGACCCCTTTTCTGTAAGAGCAGGACAGCAGATGTCAAAACAGTTGATTTTCCATAGGCTTTGTAGTAATTTTGATTTAGGTTTGGCTAATGGCTCCAACATATATGCTGAACTGGAGATTTAATATTGTGAGAATACCTTTCATTAGATACTTTGAAAAAGTGTGCATTACCATAATACAGGTGTTGGAATACTTTAGTTACAAGGTGCTGATTCTAGAATACTACCCACCCAGCAGTCGCAGTGAAGTTTATTATTAAGGTCAGTCTGAAGACGTTAAAGATTGAAATTTGAGACCCACTTTTCAAATGTTGTACGCTCAGTGCACCACATCAGTAAGAGCTCAAAAACGTCTGGCATCTCTGGAAACAATAGCCATTGAAAAATGGATTTCTACTTAACTCTGCATCCTAAGAGGAAAGCGTTTGCCTCAAAATGTGTGTTGAATTCAGGTAGAATATGTCCACTGAAAATCAACGTTACTTACCAAAGTTCTTAAAGATTCAGTTTCTGCTTGCAAGCTCTGTATTTTGCAGGCAGTTTCATGGAACTCCGTTCTTAGACCCTCCACCAGTTCTTCTTCTTGGGTTCGTTCAGCAGCTGTTGGTTCAACTTGTGGCTGATAAGAGATGATGGCTGACATCACAGTGTGTTCGTGTTTTATTTTCCTTACATCCCCAAATGACGGTTAACATTTTCATAGTGTGGCAGTTCTGATTTAAAGTGTCAAAATTATCACATTTTCTATGCATTTACTTTAAAAATAGTTTATACATACAAATTATACAAATGTTTTATCGATGTCAACAGAAGCTGTTCAGCATTCATACAGGTATGTTTAAAATGGCCTAAAAAGGAAAACATTGCTGTAACTAGTCTTTTCTTTATAGGACATTATACGCATTTTTTAGAAGTAAGTGTTTTCACTTAGTGCATTTTATTTCAGAAGTATTCACACCGTACTGTTTCCACATAGGATTATGTGAATCAGTGAAGAAATCATATCACATCACAGAGGTCAGAAGAATAGTCTCTGGTTAAAATTAAATTAAGATATTATAATTCAATGTCATGTTTTTAGTGCATGTAATTTTTAATATATGTTTAATTCAGGCACTTTGAAAATGCGTAAAGAAAAAGATACTTTAACAAATGTAAAATTTCTATACTTTTTAAAGAGAGCTGAGATCAAGGTTTTCAATCCACAGCACCAGGCTCTCTAGCAAATATCATTCTTTTGGCCAAAACCTGTATTTCTTCTTCTGGTTGCCAGTAGTGTTATGTGTGGAAAATACTTTCATTCCACCTGGAATATTCATCTTAGCCCTGTCTTGCTTTTCTGATCATGCATTCTTTTACTTTAAATATAAGATCAAATAAAAAAAAACTTCTGAGACTATATACCAAAAATCTTGTTTTTTTTCAATAGGTTGGGGTCGTCTGTAGAACTCACTTTTTTTTTTGTAACATGATGTGAACCATACACCTTCATCATTGTGAATGAAACAATGGCAGGTGCAAAAGGTCAGCGAAGACTAATGTGTCATTTAAGTACCAATTAAGACTCAGATATAATTTAGGATTTATGAACCTGTGCTGTACAGGGCTCAGTTTCAATCCAAAGGACAAAATAGGCCTTTTGAAGAAATTGCACAAAGACTGTATTTTCCAGAAATATTTTTTAGGGGGTTGTGCTTCAGAGAGACATAATCCCTCCCCAGATACCAGTGGCATGGACTAGTGATCAGGGACCTGCCACTTTGGAGTAATTTGTGTCTACTGAGCTGCTTTGAGAGCGTTGTCTGCACATTATTATAGCACTAGGACCAAAAGTGCCGCTTCTTTAACGCGATACATAGGGGAGGGAGGGCACTTTTGTGTCTGTAATTTATAGCCTACGCATGCTGCCTGAGGCCTGGCATCTCTCTGTCACATTTCCCTTAATGGTAGCCTGAATGCTCTGCAAGTTCAGACTACCTCTAAATCCCACTTGCCCTCACCCGAGGTGAGGACTCTGCAAAGGACTCTGCAAAAATACTTATTCAACCAGACGCTTCAGAAAATGGGTGATTCTTCATGACAGAGGAAAAGCTGCATTAAAAGCTGTTTCAGACTCAGCATCAGGAGGAGAGAGAACTTTTAAAGGGACCATTTCTATTATCACTTTTCGTTTCCAAGTTAATATCCAGTCTTCTCACCTCTGCCAAAGGAAACAATTTCAAGGAGAAGGCCACAAGGAGTCTGTGGCTGTGTAAATAGTGTGGAGCAATGTAGTTCAACCTTTTTGATTTGTGGGTTCCTGTAAATTCTCTAGTTGAGAAGTAGCCCTAATAAGAATGGTAACCACTGTGGCTCATCCGACACGAGTTTCACCTGAGTAAGTTTGTTTTTCTTAGCTACAGTCTCAGAGTCCTTGGAAGTTTCCAGCAGATACCTGTAGGATCAGCAGGGTCATTTCCACTGCTACTTAAAACCATACAAGGAAGTCACTGATTTTTAGGAAGGTGCTTTTGGTGGCCTTGGACCAAAATTCTTTATATTTTTACCATCGTTCTTTGTTTCAAGAACGCAGGAAAAACCCTAACCCCCAAAGTTACTGCAGATTTCGTATTTGTTTTAAATGTCTTCACGTTGGAGTTAGCTATGGAGACCTATGTGAGCACTTACCTTGGTACGGAGCAGGGCACCTGCCTCAGCACGATTCTTTTCAATATCTCTCTCCCAGTGGATTCTGATTTTTTCCAGTATGTCATCCAGGCCAGTTCCAAGAGGAACATCGAGTTCTTCCAGCTGAGATCCAGCAAGCTGTTTGTATAATACCTTCACATCCTTGAGGGGGAAAAAAAAAGACCCATAAAAAAGATGAAATGGCCAGTTGAGCAGTAACTTTAAAGGGACTTGAAGAAGAGCTCTTGGAAAGCTGCTGTTCTCGTTATGCCACATATATATAAGGGCAGAGAACAGCATCAATGCCAGCTCTCCTAGGTTCGTAGTAAACATTGCAATGCATGGAAGTTTGAAGGGGTCTTGCGAATTTCTTGCAAACTCAGGCGGTAAAGGTGTACTCTTCCAGCTGCTTGTCTCTTTGACTTTCTTCAGTGGTGCGTTGCTCAGAAGGAGACACTCGGTTTCAGGAGTCTCGGTTCAGGAGCATGAGCTTGCTAAGCAGAGCATGAGTTTTCCAGAACAGCCCAGTTAATGCCCAGTGTTATTGCAGCAGTACTATCCCATGTACGAAGTTTGTTTTCTGTACAGCACTTTGTTTCCATCTCTGTGACTGAGGATCAGACCTCTAGCAGTTGGGATTTTGACCTAAGTGACTCTCCAACCCCATGTATATCCTATGTGATGTCTAGTAAGAAATGAAGTGACAATGTCTCTTCTACATCATATTCATCAGATGAGAAAGAGTTAAAAATTGTATGTGGGTAATTTTCATTATGCCTCAAAGGTTAGTGCTTTAAACTAGCAGAGAGAAGGAAAATAGGAACGCTACCCTCCATACACGGCAGGTGTAGCTTTTTAATGCTTACTTAGCCAGATGTGTCATCCCAACCAGCCAAAACAGGCACACATTAGCTTTGCAGTGTCCCAAGTCTGGACTTACTTCTTCGTGATTCTTTGACAGCAAAGCTAGTTCTTCTTTCATGCTTTCTATCTGACTCTCCAGCTCCATTTTAGTTAAATTAGCGTCATCAATCACTTTATATAGGGAATTAATTTCATCTTCCACTGCCTTTCTGAATGGCTGCTCATTTTCATACCTGCAGGGAAAAGAATGTAATAAGCACACCTCAGCAAGAGAAACTTTCGTTTTTTTAAATGACACCGTCATGCTAATTAGATGGTAGTTCCAGACAGAGGCACAGAAACACAAAAGATATGCCTTGCCCTCACCTTGTCTTCATATACTTCAATTGCACTGCTAAAGCAGTCTCAAGTGCCTTGTCATTAACACAGAGTTCAATAAAGCAGGCCAAGTTAGCACTCTGACGTACAACGCTATCAGACTGATAGGATTCCTGAATAAGCATGGAGAGGCATGTGGTCTCTGTTTAGATCTGCTGTTTGTATGCCATATGAATGTGTGTGCCTTTTACTCTGTAAAACAGGAGTAACTGCTCACCCTTCTACGTACAAACTTTTCAGAGCCCAGGATGAAAAAACACCTGAGTGTCAAGCATCACTTTTAGAGATGAACATACTGATGAAAGCCTGTTTTATGTTCCTGGGTTGTAACCTGCCCTTAAGATCCAATCCTAGTAGCATTGAAGTAGATAGGAAATCTGGTATTTGCTTCACGTGGACAAAGATTTTCATCAAAGACTATCCCGTTATTTGTTCAGACCTGAATGTGACTGCTTTGGCAGCTGCTGCTGCTTCCTCTCCCTGCCAGCCCCCGTTGTTTTATAACCATCAGTATATAGTGTATATTAACAGTGTGGACACTTCTAATTTCATCGATACTCTGTAATGCAAATGTAATCAGGCGGCAATTGCTCATTTAACTGAGTCCATACTCGCTGAAAAATTGGTTTGTTAACTAGAACTGCTGTTAAAACAAAACGGCTAGTTTCTAAGCTGCGATTGCTTTTTCCCCACCAGCGAAATGTTAGGGAAGATTGTGGTGGGCACTGCCAGTATATAGTGCTGCCTGCTGCATAGCTATTGCTTTTTCCTTTTCATTCTAGTCCTTCAATTTAAGTTGTGGCTGGGTCACATAATGAATCTCCTTTTTCTGGGAGACTTTAGTGTCAAACCAAGCAAACCTGGGCACCTGGACTCTGGAGCAGGTTAGAAGGCAGCCAGCTTCATAAACAATTTCTGCACTCTTCCCTGATAACCACCACCTTTGCTGGGAATCAACAGCTTGGGAAAGAGGCAGCTGATCCCAGTGAGAATTAGGAGTTGTCAGTATGCAGTGGATCGACTGAACATTTTCTTTATAGTGTAAACTGCTTGCAGAAGCCAGTAGACATTTTTAAAAATTATTTTTTAATCGTTCTTAAAATAGGAATGTGGCTTACTGCATGTAAAGCAACAAAATTAGTTGTTCAAAGTTTTACCTTTCTAAATTAAAAGGCCAACCAAGGTATATGAATAATGCATGTTTTGGTATGATTAAATGAAATAATACCAGAGAGAGAGAGAGAGAGAAAGAGAGACGTTGAAGGGAAGAAAAAATCATAGGGAATAAAAATGAATTAGTTTGAAATACAGTTTGTGCATCAGATCTTGCAAAAAACTATTTGTAAATGAACAAGTCTGTTACGAATAAAAGCTAGAAAAATCAGGCCTTCTGAGTGCAGTTTGAAGAGCTTCATGTACCATTATACATGAGTATTGTAAGGGAACACGTCTTTACCCAGTTATATTCAGAGCAACTTAGGCTTTGCAAACTGAAAGACTCTGTAGAAGCAGTTTGTCAGTGTTTAAGACCTTCTTTCACTATTCATTTGTCTTGGCAAAGCCAAGAAAAATCAGTGCAGTCCATTTCTTTTTTCTTATCTCATGGTTCCACACTGATGTTTGTAGAGGTACGTTGTTTGTATTTCAGATGCTGTAGCAGAATGACTGTTTGTTCTAGAACCCAAAATTTTAATGAATACCGTCCTTTCAAAAGAGATTGGGGTCTGTATATCAAAGGTTAGCTTAAGTAACTTTGCCAGTACACATTATCCATTACTATAAATCTTGAAAATGTTCTTCTGAGTTACTGTTACAATACATGTTACAATAACCCACCCAAGTTAGGTGGTCAAATACCCAACATAAAAAACCCGAGTCCATTCTACTCATTATACATTATTCCCCTATAGATTAAGCCCTTCGTAACATAAAGTTTTAAACAAATTGGGCAGTTAGGTGCTTCACAAGACTACCTGTCTTTAAAATCTTCAGCACAAGCTTGAATGTTCTCTGTGTGCAACATAAGACGAGCATTTTCAAGGACTGCTTCGCTCACCTAGAAGGGAGAAACAGCAGAGTTCAAACAATTAAGAATGTTAGCACATTAGCTATATGCATTATATATCTATATTTTAAGCAGATGGATAGTTTTGATTCTGAAAATAATCTTTTAGCCTAGGGCTGTTCAAGTGATTCATTCCAGATAATTTAATCAATGAATTTCATACATACCAATTCACAAATTGTCTGCAAATAGGCTGTAATTTTTCATCAGTCTGTTCATTGCTCCCAACCATTCAGCTTCTCATGGAAACACATTTATTCTCATTGTCAGCTCGTCACAAGGGGTAAAATTCATTACTGAGCACAAGGTATGTTCATCACTTAAGTCCCACTCATATTTTCTAGATACAGTTTAAGTAGCACTTATGCAGTTCCTGTTACACTTCCCGTATCAGCAGTCCTCTTTAGCGTTGTACTCCTCAGTGAGCCAAGGAATATTTTACTCATGCCTCGCGAGCAGTTCTCAGACTCCCAGAGCATTGCTTTTGTTCTCTGATGGGACTGTGTAAGTTGTTGTGATAGACACGAGACGTAAGAAGCAGGCAGGCTTCAACGATTAGTCTAGCGAATGTGAAATGCTATGGAAAGAGCATACAGATAACACTGTGGTATCTTTGTTGGGTGTATCTAATACCCGGAAGGCACCGGAAGGGTAACCATACCTGAGAGGTTTGCTGCATAGCAGCATGCTCTGATTCAAGAGGGTTTTATAAAATGGTAAAAAAGTAAAAAAGACCACTGCCTGCTCTGGAGTCGCAGTGCAGAGGAGGTGAACAAAGAACTGCTGAAGCTGGTGCAAGGTCACCATGGAATGGAAAGGTCTTCTCCACAAGTAACTAGCCTGGAGCTCCCTGCAGGCTGGCCGTCCCACGGTCTGTGCCATCGCTCTGGAGGAGCTGACCTGCAGCTGCTAAAATGAAGACGGACTTGCTAAGGCGATCCGCATGGCTCACCCTAGCTGCGCCAGGGGAAGGTGGCCCTCCGAGTGCCCCGGGGCCAGGTGCGCGCTTGGGGTGCTGCACCAGTCTGCGAGCCGGAGCTCAGGGTGGAAGTGCCCCCACAATGGCCTTGGCAGACCAGTACAGACATAGCCACACCTCAAGTCTTCGCTCTAAGGGAGAGGGCAGAAAGGTGATAGTGGGAGGACTGAGATCTGAGTGGGCTGCCTTGAAGGGAGCCGGGTAGTGTTACAGGGGCAGCTAGCTTTTGGAGCGGCAACAGGCTTTGTAAATACAAGTCTCTTTCTTCCTTCTCAGGATTTATCCATGGAGATTTGTGGTTGAAACCAAACCAGCTCATGAATAAGAGTTGCTTTTTAAACAGGCCAGGAGAGTTCTTAAAGTAGAAATTCTTCTCTGGCTAATTAAGTTTGCAACTAAATGAGATGTGAATATCCCTTAAGCGTTCTCCTCTCTGTAGGTACAAAGGCAGTGCCGTGTGACAACGTGAAGGCTGCATCCAGACACGTTATGTCACCTACCATAAATAGAATAATTGCCTTAGTATGGTACTCCTACCTACTCTTTGGCCTGCTGCTCGGTGAAGAAGTGGACATGGAAATGTGAGGCTGAAGCATTTTTGCATGGCAATTAACATTCATCCTCACTAACAGCCACTTATTGCTCTAACCATTTTACAATCGCATAGACTAGTGGCTAACAAATATAAAGTATGATATACGTGAAGGCATTTGATAAGGAGAAATCTAGAGGAATATCCTCTTCCCCACACTGAAAGTCAATAATGGAACCTGATGTTCAAAGCACTCTGGATTTTTAAAATCGAGGCACTGGAGAAAAAACAAAAAAGATCTACTTCTCACTTACTGTTAGGAAACAAACAAAAAAAAAAGGTGGCTGTGGCTGGAAGCCTGTGGTTAGAGGTTAGTTCCTACCAGCTCCAGCTTAGCTTGGTTTCCAAAGGAAACAGAGCTTATACCATTATATGAGCTGCCAATTTTTCTTTAATCACTGTGGGATCTCTTGGCCAGTTCCAACTAATATTGTAGAGGGATAGGCCATCTCAAGGATACTCAGCTCCGACATGTTTCACGAAAACAGCACGAGGACAGAGAAGAGAAATCCCATGAATGCTGCCACTGGACAAAAAAGTTTCAGTCTAAGCATGACCGTTTCAGAATTTAGAGAAGCCACACAAATCAGAGATGCTATGAAAGCCATGGGTGTGCGAAAAGAGATGGTATCTTACTGCACACCAGCTAATGCAACCATGCAGAACAAAAGTATAGAAGACCTTTATGTGTTCTGTTGCACACAGGACTACTTATTTATTTAAGAAATACCAGCTCATGTTCATCATTCAACCCCTTATTTCCCGCTCCTCGCTTTCTTCCAATCCCACTTTACCAGCACTGGCCTAACTGCCTAGCCCCCAGGTAGCGTCTCTGTGACATTTCAGAGCGGCTAGGGAGAGCCCAGGACTTTGGGGCAGTGCCGCTATACCTCTGGCCTTGTAGGACATGACCTACCTACCCCTTGCAGGACATGAGTTTCTCCTGAAAGATGCAAAGAAGACATTCAGTCTTTATACAGCAGCAGCAGCAGCAGCAGCAGCAAGGTAGAGGCTACTGTCTGCAGATGCCCTGGCATCCTTTCACTGTCACTGTTTAGGAGTGAGCAAGAAGCAGAATCTGGCATATCCAGTTCTTCAACCCAAACACTGACAGGTTTTATTCTTCTAACTTTTAGAAAACTTACTCTTGTCTCATTGGAATCTTTCTTTTTTTGCTTCATGTTTCTACAGAAATTACTGCATTTTGTCTTCCTGCAACTCGTACACGTATGGATGCTTCACAGAAGTTTTTACTGTTTTCCTGACTCAAGTCAGGGAAAAGAAACATTGCCCTGTGATTTACCATGACCAGTCAAAACAAGCCCAAATGTCTCAGCCAGTCCACGCGGTTACAGCATCTGGCCAAACGTCTGAGAAAAATAAAAGCCTTTGAGGAAATTGTGAACGTTCCACAAACAAATGTAATATTAAATTCTTTAAACTATACATTGCAAATTAGGAGTTATATTAATCACCAAGGTTAGGAAGTCGAATCCAGTTTAAAATGGCTTTTGGTCTGCAATGAAAGTAAAAGCAGGGGAATAACTGGAGTTTTCAGCTGCCTGGAACAATGCCTCTATGCTGAGACACACATAGGAGGCAAACTGCACTCTCATTACCTCCCTTAAGATGCACATGGTACATTTTCTTTTCCTAGTCATTAAAAGCTATTTTTAGCAGTAATCTCAAGTTTTATTGACGCATTTGGGGCAACTTCTTACTTGTCCCACGAGTGGATGTCTTTATCAAAACCCTGGTAGTACACTCTTGAGGATTTTGTTAATGTGGGAGCCTCTATCCAGGAGGAAATTACTACCCTCTTTGGAAATTAACAGCTAATACCAAACGGATAGTGACAAAATCTGGAGGTTCCCAATTCTAGGCCCAAACCTGAATTGTGCCATGTAAATGTGGATGGTTTAAAAAAGAATCTCATGCTTAGAAGGGTCAGAGGCCCCAGTCAGTAGTGGAAGTCAGCAGAACTTGGTCTTTCAGCACTTCTGAAAATGAGCTGTAGACTGTTTAAATACAATAGTAAATCTGAAGGATAAACAATTGCATGGCAGCTTCTATGCAGAAAAGCAAATTTCTTGAAAAAGCATCTCTGATTTACATTAGCTATGAAAGCCTTTTTATAGACTTAAAAAGAAAAGATGTAACACTTCCATCTAGTGGTTCTTTGGTTTGATTTAATTCTCCCAGTAATCAACAGTTAGATACAAGCATTCAGTATTAGCGAGACTGATTGCCTTTGCACTTTGCTGCCACGCGTATTAAAATGCATGATGCAGCAATTTAGGAAACACCCTTATTTGTCTTCATTTCAAATGAGAGGGCTCACAAAGCTGCAAGCAGCCTCACTGAGACTTCCTGCCTTTGTGAAACGAAGCACAATGCTATCCAGCCTCACAGAGCTTCTGTGAAGCCTAATTCATTACATGGCATTTTAAGAAGTGTTATGCAAGTGCAAATATTATTGCTAATAATAGCTCCTCTAAGTCACATATTGTCTTTCTACACTAGAATCTGTGATGCACATACACCTTTTGAACATCTTTTTTCCAGTTCTCGAGTTAACACTGAATATTCGCAATATAAAACATCTCCACTAGACATCACAAATTCTCTTTCATTTCACTGGGATTTTATAGACATGAAAACACAATATTAATTTTTAGCAAAAAATTCTTATTTGGATAGAAAGTTCTTATTCGTCGGGCTGCATCAGCTGGCCCACCTACTAGCTTATGTCTGACACCAAGCAAAACCAGATGCTCCGAGGGGGTTTGCACACTCCCTCTGTGATGAAGTGGGATGTGATACAGACGCTTGGGGAGAATCTATCCCTGGTGGCTAGCACCTTTTGATTTTTAACAGCGATTTCCCTAAATCTGGAATTGCAGGATTTACGACACCTTTCAAATTCTCAGCTATACTTAACTGACAGCTCTGTATATTTTTTACTCATATAAATGTCTAGTCCCTTGTTGAATGCTGCTAAGTTCACGGCCTCAGGTGTGGTCTGTCTCATGGTTTAATTATTCATGTAGTGGAAAATTATTTGGCTTTTAATTTGGCTTCAGTTTCAGCAAATGATCCCTTTATGGAAAGAGAACCGACGATCCTGTCTAGTCTTTCCTGTCACAGATTTAAAGAAATTGTTTCTATCAGGCCATGGCTTCCAATGCATTTTAGTTCACAGCTGGGCCGGGCTAAAAGCATGCAAGCCAGTTACTGCTGCTCAGGTGCCGAGTGGTAACCTGGTGAGGTGCTTTCAGTCATGCTTTCTGTGTTGGGCCCATTCTCAGAGCCTCAAGGAAGCAAACGTAGAGGTAGTAAGAGTGGTATTTGTTGAAACGCCTCGAGGAAAATAATCTTTTAGGCAAAGTAATACCTGGAGAGAGGCTGGGAAGAGAGATTTCATTTATATTTCTAGTACGTTATAAACAAACAGGACTGCGTCAAAAAAAGACGCCCGGTTCTCGAGGCAATATCTGCTCCCAGAGAAACAACCTGTAAAAACATTGGCTTACCACAGGGATTAAAAAGCTGATGATCCCACCTAACAGTTGCGTGTGAGCGTAATCCAAGGTTGGGGACTGTTGGAGGTGGATAAGAGGACATCAATTCAAACTGATTTATTGCCATCCTCCATAGGGTGGTTAAACAATCTCAATGCTGTTTTAAGAGAGTCTGTTGGGCCCTTGAGATCAGCAATAGAACGGTATCTCGCCAATTTACAGAGAGCCATAAGGCACTGTTATTAGAGTGCCTCAGCGGTAAGGAAACGCGTTGTTAGGACAGGAGTCTGTCCTGCCTCCTTGGCAGGTCTTCTCCTTGCCCCTCAGGAAATACACGAGCGGTTTCAATTCTAAATGCAGCGATCCCTGGGACAGGCAACCCTGCACGCTCTCCAGACTTAATATTGACATGGAGTAAATATAGCCCGTAGGGCCAGGTGCAAATAGAGGCATCTCTCTAGAAAACTCCGATGATCTTTCAAATTTGCACAGCCAAACACTGAAGTCACAGCGGTGATGAAATTGGTGCAAGACATTTATTCCTTCTTGTACATTTGTATTTACTTCTGTGATTTGAACTTGTGCTCTGTGCCACCTGATAGACAACATAAGTGTCTCTCTCTCTCTCTCCTCCTGTCTCTCCGCGCCGTGATCGAATAGTCGTGGAGACCGAACTCAGCCCTCATCTCTGTAAATGCACTAAGATTATTTCAAGCGTTCTCTTTTCCCAGGGGCTGTGCCGCTCCGTGGGAAGGACTTATCATCACAGCTAACCTTCTGTTTTGCAGAAGAGACACGCTCAGTTAGACGTTTAAACCTCTTTTGCGTTTTCCGTAACAAGACTGGGATGAAGACCGGAGGGAAGGAGTATGATGAGCAGGATGAAACAAGGTGAGTGTCTATTTCTGTCGCGTAAATCCCTCCCAGCAAGGTTTTCTCATTTCACGCCGTTCCTGCAAAAACCCTCCTACTTTGCATCTGTCCCAGGGAGCGTGCGGGTACCCCTGCTCTGCTGCAAAACAGCTGCCCTCGCTGATGATTAACCCTGATTAAGCCTTGGGGAGTCGCTTCAAATCATTCAGCGCTCTGTCAATAATTCATCGCCGTAACAGCTCTAACGATTGTAACGAAATGCAAGTATGGTTTTCCCCTAAGGGACCCTCTGCTATTACCCTCTGATTCAGTCCCTGCCCCTTGAAGTCTTCTCCCCCTAGTCTAACGCCCACGAGAAGCGCTGGCGCTCTTAGGCCTCACCGCCGAGAGGAAAGCGATGGAAGAGGCCGGAGGTCAACGCCTGGCCGGAGGGAGGCCTCCCTCCCCCAGGCGACGCTTTCGTCGCACCCGAGCGGCGGGGGGCCGACGGCCAGCCCCTCTGTGCCAGGTATCTGTCATTTCTATTAAACTTGGCTCCTGAGCACCTTTTACCTTTCATACTTGCGCTCGTTGCTGAGTGAGGGGACTTATTTCGCGTTGCTGCAGCTGTTTCTGTGGCAACTGATTCTGCTGCCATTTTAAGAGGCAGGACAGCTTCCGTGTTGACGCAGACACCCTTTTGCCAATTAGCCCCGGGATGAGTGAATTAATCAGTACTTGGACTGGATAAGGTCCTACTTTCGCTTTTGTCTTGATGTTTGTAAAAAAAATGATGTAATGTAAAAAAAAAAACCTGCAGAAACCTATTAGAATTGTACATCTTATCTCAGATCACGTCTGAGAAAGAAAGTAAAAAGAAAACACTAAGGGATGCGTCTTTTGTTGATCTAATCAATCCATTATTGATTTAATTGACATAATTGGAAGAAAACCTCTAATTCTCTGTATTCTCGAATGTGTTTTAATGGTTAAATAGATATGATGCTGCTAATCTTTTTTCTCTATGACACTTGCAACTGTTATTACTTCATTGCTTTATTCTTCTCATTTCCGTATAGGAAGATGCCAGTATTCAAGCTAGATTTCGTTAGGAGCTGTATTTATTTGCTCATAAGAAAGGGAGGTAGAGGAAAGACAGCAATATAAAGAAAGGTTAAAAGGAAAGCAATTTGGATGAAAAGTTATTAAGTATGTTCATCTGCACTGCAACATTGTCTTCCTAGAAATAAAATCAAACAGGCCCTCTTGAAGCACCTACAGTCCTACTTTCCTTGGCTTGAGCTGTACGCCCTCGTAGCTTTTCCGGGGGTGGGTCTACAACTTCAGAGTGGGATGCTCATCAGAAAAAAAGCAGGACTGCTGCCTGAAAAGCATTACCCTGCTCCCCTAATCTCCCATCAAAGTCCTCATTTACAACAGCTAGATTGCTTCATGCACATACTGTTTTTTATAAGCACCCTAGATTCAGCACCTCCTTTGCCTTCAGGAGCCAGCCTCTTCAGCAAGACCTTTGTAGGACTAGTGGTGCCAGTGACATTTATCAACAGAAAAAGAGAACATCTCTACAAGTCAGTGCTTAACTGGGCGCTACGGCTCACATGAGCTTTGCCTAACCTTTTATGCCACTGTCCAGTAAAATATGGGATTCAGATGGCATTCATAGCCTTCTGGGTGCAGCTCTGTCGTAAATATGCAGCACAGTTGAAAAATACACCTCTTCCCATGCAAAAGGGGAAACTCTGTCTGGGTAGCCTGAGGTGAAATACAAAATTGGCTCAGGGAATTTA